CGGGTAATTCAGAATCGGTCTTTATGGACGATCGGGTGAAAACACTGGAAATCATGAAGTATTCAGCAATATTTCGAGGCCGATCTAAAAACAACGTAATCCAAAACGAACGAAAAGTGTAAATTAATTTAACGGAAGAAAGATTCCCTCTATACACACAAAATGTTATGCCTACGATCACGCCTGTCAGTTCAATTTAAACTGATTAGGCATCAACCGGCCTCATAGCATGTCACCTTATGAAAACTTTTGTTCTTGCGACGTCGCCATCGGTGAGAGCAAGCAAAATCCAGCTTCTCTTGTTAAAACACATCTGGTTTACTTCAAAAAAATAAAAAACAGAAATCACTGGTAAATTGTTTTGGAATCTGCACTCAGAATTAAGCAGTTGACAAACCGTCATACATGAAATTACACTACTTATTAAACGACATTTAGATGTAAACTTCACTAAAACACTTTTATTAGACGTTATTTTATGTCTAGTTTCATAGTCATTACGCTATCGGTATGAGAATACCTTCTATACATCTAAAAACGAAGTTTACTAAATCAGAGCCATTTCTGACGTTTTCGAGATATTGCGCTATTCAAAATAAATCGGCATTTCTAAAAAACCTAACAATGCCTTTAATATTTCTTTTATGTTTTTAATTCTTTAACACTTGTTCTTAATAAACATAGAAATCGGACTCATGAAATGGTGTCGGTTAACGAGTGATTGGTAATAATTCGTAAATTTTGACACATTTCATGAGTTAGGTCACTAACTGTACCACCGCTCAACGTATGACACGGTCCACAGGTTAGCTCAGGTTAGTTTGGGATTCTACACCCTATCATTGCCGCGAGTCCCCAAACCCAACCAAATGTTTTGCTAAGCCCATCTTTCTGTCTATTTTGCCGGCCTGGAGAAAGTACTTGGAGTGATCTGTCCTGTCAACATCGTAAGACTGAGTGTTGCACAGGCAATGAGCATTCAGATCCTGCCGCCATAATGTGAACCGTCTCTGCAGCTATAAAGAGCAAGCGTTGAAATTCGGAGAACAGCTGACGCGGACACCACGGCGTATCCCGGGCGAGACAAAAACACCATGTTGTGAACAACTGCAGCAAAAAAGGGGAATTGGCCGTCGTAAATTATCGAAGAGAATTTCTTACAGAATGAAGTATCTCGTCTTTTGGAACAGCATGCTGCACAGAACAGAAAGTTGCGGAGTTTTATTAACGGATAAAGACTTTCTTTAACAGCAGTGATCAGAGGGCAACGTTTAAAAACCTGCGTTTATCTCACTCCAGTGGATGAGCTATCTCAAGAAACATTGACTCAAATTGTGAAATGCGTTTCCGACTTGAGGAGCTTACTTAAGCAGGACAGTGATGTTACAGTGATTTATCGATATCATGAAATGTTGACTGAAATTCTGTAATGTGTTTTCGATTAGAAAGGATTACTTGGGCGCAGTTATAATGCTGATTATCTTGCGACATAATCCTATAATATTCCATGCTCGGCGAACGTCGGCTTTTGAATACACTCCTTTCCAATCTCCTGTGGAAACCGTACTCGGTGAAAAATGACTACTTATGTAGCATGCATTTTTCCATTAATTTTCGATGGTCTTGCATATTCAAATATACCTTATAAAGACCGCGAACAAAAATATGCTTTCTTTCGGTCATTTTATAGGGAATCACGTCCTTTTTTTACTCGAAGAAAGAGTATAATTAGGTTTTAAGACCACGCAATTTCCATCCATATAGCCTAATATCTGTCCATTTACCGCTGTTCCTTATGAAATGCACACCGTAGTCCGCATCCATTGCAAAATGTTAAAGGCACTATATGGTATCTTTTTTAAGGTATAAAAGAATATGTGATTTCTTTAAGGTGGAACGCACGCGCCTTGCAGACTGGAATCGCTGAGCGCCAATGCAACACAGATCGGGCCTAAATTATTCAAGAATTAGGAAACTTTTTTAAAACCTAATTATATTCCTTCTTCGAGTATAAAATATTAAGATGGCGTGATTCTCCACCAAACGACTGAAAAAAGCATATTTCTGTTCGTGGTTTTTATAAAGCATATTTGAATCTGCAAGGCCATCGAAAATCAATGGGAAAATGCACGCTACTTAAGTAGTCACTTTTTACCAAGTACCGTTTCTACAAGACATTGAAAAGCAGCATATTCAAAAGTTGACGTCCAGCCGAGTCCTTACAACCACACCTAAGTAATCCTTCCTAATCGAAAACGAATTTCAGAATTTCAGCCGACAGTAGTTACCGTGCAGCATAATTCCAGAATGTTTCAGTCACTTCAGAAAGCCGGCTTTTGAATGAACTTCTTTCCGACCGTCTACAAAAAGTGCACTCTGTAACAAACGATTACTTACATAGTATGCATTTTCAGTTGGTGTTAAATACGCTTATAAATTCAGATATATTTCATCGTAAACACGCACAAAAATATTAGCTGTCTTCTGCATTTGGTAAGAAATTGCGCCTTCTTTAATTTTTATGCTTAAAGAAATAATATTATTCTGTTTTAAAAAAGTTTCTAATTACGAGATTTTTAAGACCTTGGAATGTCCTTCATAAAACGCCGTGCCTCTCTATTTATTAGTGTTTTTTGCAAAATATGCAATATGATTCAAATCCACTGAAAAATATATAAACCACATTAAGCTTCTTCTTAAAAGTATATAGACATGCGGGATTTTCTACACACGGAACGTATACAGTTTGGGAATCTTGCATGAAGGTCTGACGACAGCTTGAGCTCAAAATTATTTGGGAATTGAAAATAGTGTAAAACTCAGAGATGGCATAATTTGTTGCCATATGAGTAAAGAGATGAATTTCTTATGATTTTTTGCATAATACATTGAAATTTATAGGGACATCTAAAATCAATGGGAAAACGCATGCCACGTAAGTAGTCAGTTCTCACCGAACGCAGTTTTACAGACGGCCGGAAGTAAACTGATTCAAGGGCCAGCATTCTGACGTAACTGTTATAGTCTGGGGTTCTGCTGCACGCTCATTGATGTCGCAATATTACTTAAGTTATCTTTTCGAATCAAGGGCACATTTCAGAAGTTCGGTTAGCATTGCAAGAAATAGCAAATCTACTGCAGTTCCCAGTTTAACGATCTTGCTTGTTACGCGTTCAGTATACCGCAAACTCTGATTTGAAGCTTCCTCACAACCACCTTGATCAATAAGTCCGTGCAAGTTGTCTGCAAAATTATTTGGTCTTCATTAGCAAGTGGTTGAGGAAAATACGTGATTCCAACTGTCAGCGGACGAATTTCACTTTCTAGATGACAATTCGCCCATCGCAAACGAAGATGCCTATTGTTGTTACACGAGGTAAGTTCGGCAGCCTAGCTTAAAATACACGCACGACAACTATTCTTCGGTTGCTGATAGAAGCGAACAGGCGAGTTCCAGGAGGCGGTTCAGAAGAAGATGATCGCATCTTCTTTTTCTGTTATTCGCTCACTAAAATACGGCGACAATTGCAAAGAAGATAATATTTAACGATTCCATTAGAGATGGGGATTGCTTATTCAATTGAGAGCAGTTTGTGAATATATACCGGCAAGGGTCGATTACGCTGTCCTGGTCCCAAGTGTAAACGCAATGTGAACATTGAAAGTAAATTGTAAGTCGGGAAAGTAGCCGAGCCTGAAACTGAAAAGGCGACCTGATGTACTAAACATCTGATGTGCGGTTAAAGGAAGCCTAGAAGTCCCACAAAAGAACTGGCTGACGGGACACGTGGGACAGCAATACCCTAATCCTAACGGTAAACCTAACCGAAACCTCAAAAGTAGACCTAATTATCAACCTAACGATAACCCTAAACGTGACGCTAAACCTAACCCTTAAGCAACCACAAATCCTAGATCTAGCCCTAGGCCTAACCTTAACCCTGGCCCAAATCCTGACCCTGACCTTAACTGTGACCCAAACCCTAACTCTAACACTAACCCTAACCTCAACCTTAGTACTAAGCGGAAACCTAAACCGCAATTCAAACGCTGACCTTTACAATTAACGCAAAACCTAACTCCAAACTCAATTCTCAGCCTGGCACTAGCCCAGACCCTAAAACCAATCCTACCTCTAAACCGAAACAGTAAATTGTCCTCTTACTTCTTAGCTTTGACTATTTTCCCACTAACGGTTTCAGCATCCCCCTTCGGCTTACTCTACTTCCAATTCCCACCTTGCGCCTACACTTGGGACCAGGACGGCGTAACCGACCCTTACCTGCATCTACCTTACGTAAATGGCTACGCGAATGACCCAGAACAAATGCCGCTCATCGTTTGCCATCATCATGCCGTTTCGCGTATGCCCCTGGAGAGATCATACCGCGAGCAGCTGTTACGAGGTTGCATGTCTACAGCGGCAGTCTTGATTTTACCAATCAGAGCGATGCAAACCGGCGGACCAAACGCAAGGCTGAAGTAAACATGTTTTGTCTCAAGACGATCTGGCATCTGATAACGATGCCGGACGTGTACTCATCTGACTGTCAGACCCTTTCAACCGTTTCTCCATTTATTCTGTACAGAATACAATATTCCCTCTCTCTTTCTCTCCCTACTGGCGTCTAACTTCTTTTTGTTTGAGACCGGCCCTGAAGGTTGTAGGGGTTAGGGTCTGTCTATGGCGACACCCCATTGCATTTGGTCTCAAGTATTCGCTTCGTAACGCCTAACGTCATATGGAAATGCAAGAAATGTTTCCAGTTAAAGTAAACATTCCGAACCCTGAGTAGCTTAGTAAAGACTGCCTATTCTGACATTTCCAATTTACTCGAATTTATTCCTTTCGTATGTTTGCTCGACCTCGCTGTATTTATTCCCCAATTTACACAAACACACGTCGCCCCAACTATTCTAGTGATGTTTGCCTTTTTAGCTTCTCGTAGGTCCAGCCAGAGCAGAATTATGTCGTTGGCACGAACAAGGTCGCCTGTTTAATGCGTGCAACGTATGTAAATGTGGAAAATAATGATGAAGAAGAAGAAGAAAAAAATAAAAAGAAGAAGAAAAAGGAGGAGAAGAAGAAGAAGGAGGAGGAGGAGGAGGAGGAGGAGGAGGAGGAGGAGGAGGAGAAGGAGGGGGAGGGAGAGGATGAGGAGGAGAGGGGGGCATGTTCGCCGGAGCAGAAACTTTACTGACCCGACGTTGCTGATTGCTGTTCGAACCCATCATCAGCTATAGTCACAGGAAAGCATTGCAGAGGCACAAACAGGGCAGCATCTGTAGGACGCAATTGCCTGGCGGCCATATGCCTACATTAATTGGTAACACCCGTACTCCTCGCTTGTTATTCTTCACTCGAGTCGTTAATCATCGTCGATTCATCAACGTTGTTGATTTTTGGCGTAATAGCAATCTCAAAAATTTGCCGCTGTCACATGAACTGTAATTCGTCCGTGTCCTCCCCTCGGGGCTAATTATTTTGTTCAGGCAAAATCACAGCACAGAATATGTAGGTTGAAGTTCATCGCGGTTGTTAATTAAATTCGGACCGGAAAACCAGGACTCAAGCAGATCGCGTCTCACGCGGTTGTCACCTCTTTCGAGAATTTCGGCCCTGTCAAACTTAAAGATGTAGTCAGGTCCCGTCGAATGAGCCATGGGCCGGGAGCAGGCTTCAATCCGCTGCTGCTGCGTGTTCGGTTATTCACGTTCGGACCAATCTCCCAGTTTCTCCGACGTAGTTGCTTTTTCTGCGGCTACAACAGATCCGGTAAACGGCTACCGACGTTTCCCGCTGTGGCAGCGGGTCCCTCGGCCTCATAACCTGGCACCTGACGGACCGACCTGTGCGCAACTCCAAATCTGAGTAGTGTGAGAAGGCGCCTGACGGTTTCCAAGGCGTTCTTCGCGTACAGGGGAGCTCTCCAAAAATTTTGGGCCGACTGAACTTTGGCACTCTTCACGTTTACGCATGCACCGGCTGACAAAGTGGAGTTGGTTAGCATTCGCTCTAAGCTACTGTCGAAGATATTATAATTTAAAAGTCAAGTTGGTGAACGCACGTTTTCGGTAATTCTTCCTCAGGCCAATACAATTACATGAACTAGAGAAAATGTACAAAATCAACAGTGTTTATAGATGCCTCAAGGGCTATTAAGTCACTAACACTCATCATTCCCACGCCGCCCGCATAAGAATGTCGGCGGGTGTTAGTCGTCAGAGCTAGGGGAGGGGGGTAAGAGAGTCTTTGAGTAATGTTCTTGGATTGAGTACACGGAGTACCCATCATCGTGATTAGGGATTTGAGGCGGCATGGCCACTTTGCCTTTCGGTTCGCCGCAATGCGTCTGGATACGCCAATATAGCACGCATACGCAGCCATGTTTGTGGCTAATTCGGTAGTTGTTGTTGAAGTCCAGTACTGGCATCTTACTAGTCGCCCTCCTGAAGATTTTGGTTTTCGGACCACCAAAGTCTTTACGGCAGACGTGGACATCAAGGAAGGCTAGCTGGTTGCTCCCTTCCCTTCCCCTCCGTGAATTTTGTCATGGAAGACGGTGTTGAGATGTCCTCTGAGCACCATCACCTGATCCCTATCGATGAAGACGAAGGTATCATTTGCATATCGAGTACAGAATTTCGGTCTGTGGCGCCGGAAGACCAGTGATTCGGGTCG